TTGTGTGTGAAGAAATGTAACAGAGTAGAGAAATGTATGGCTGAATGTAAAGAGATACAGCTGTGTGGAGATTGAGAGATTTTTCAGAGAGTTTTTTTTTTTCAGTTCATGGAGCTTTTTTATTGATTCTCATTATGTTTATTTATCCAACAATCTTTAGTTTTAGATGATTAATGAATTTCTTTTGTAGCTTATATTATCTTTGCCAAGATTTCTACTAGAGTCTTCTGTAGCATTAGATTTGCTCTGTGAGAAACAGTGGTAACAGTGACTACTCAAAGTTCTGTGTTATCTAGCTTTTCTGTAGCACAAAACTGTGGATAATTGAGCAATGAAAACTGACCTTAAACTTTCAAATTATTTTTATTAAGAAATGTTTTATTCATTTTACATACCAACCACAGATTCCCCCTCTCATCCCTCCTCCCACTCCCCCCTAGTCTGCCCACCACCACCCAACCACTATCCCCTCCTCCAAAAAGCTAAGGCTTCCAATGGAGAATAAACAAAGCCACCAGTTGAGGCAGGTCCAGGCCCCTTCTCCTGCATCAAGGCTGTGGAAAGTGTCCCACCATAGGTAATGGGCTCCAAAAAGCCAGCTCATGCACCAGGAGTAGATACTAATCCCAATGTCAGGGGCCTTTAAACCGACCAAGCTACACAACGGTCTTGCTTATGCAGTGGGCCTAGTCCAGTCCCATGCAGCCTCCACAGCTGTTGGTCTAAAGTTCATGAGTTCCCATTAGTTTGGTTTCGCTGTCTGCAGGTTTCCCCATCATGATCTTGATGCCCCTTGCTCATAGAATCCCTCTTTTCTCTCTTCCACTGGACTCCTGGAACTTGGCCTGGTGCTTGGCTATGGATCTCTGCATCTGCTTCCATCAGTTACTGGATGCAGGTTATATGATGACAGTTACGTTATTCACTAATCTGATTACTGGAGTAGGCCAGTTTATGTACCCAGAGAGAGGAATTTTTGAGATGAAGTAAAAGAGCAAGTTACTATTAGAAAGCATGTATTTCCTCATTTTTGTCTCAGATAGAAAAAGTCTAGCCTTCACCACATTCATGGAGTGTTTTTTTTTTTTTCATACCCTAGTATTGCTGGACCTTCCAGTTAGCAATACTCCGTTGTCATGACTGTACGCAGATGCATTCTGAAGATTATCAAACAATTTTGCTTCAAGATGATATGCTGGTTATGTCCAGCAGGTCAAACCTGGAAGAAAAGCTCTACAAAAACAAAATAAAAACATCACTACTTTTCCAACCCTGTTTCACAAACTACAGCCCCTCTTTCTCTTTTCCATTTAATTCTGACACTGGAAAGAATTGCATCTGTTTGCAAATACATTTTTTTCATCTCTATTGTATTTGGAACCAAGGCCAATATTTTCCAGTGACAGCACTATACTTATTCTGCTTTGTCAAGGTTACCATGACTTCCGTATTATGAAGTCCAAGGATCAATGTGGTCCTAATTTACATGGACCTACCAGCATCAACTCCTCTTTCACTCTTTATTCATTTTGTTCTCTGAGGGCACAACCCTATCCTTAGCACTTCTGTCTATATCCTATCTCCATTATGTCCTTTCCTGTAACTCTATCACTCAAAATAGGAATATGCCAGGGTTCGGTTTCTTTGTTTCTGTTTCTTCTCTAACCAGTCTATGGCTTTCTTTTGTGTATATATTTTGGATATATTACTATTACTATAGAATCAATCATGGAAAAGTATTTAACAAAAAATTAACAAATGTCTCCTTTTTTATATGTGTTGGCTTTAGTTGAATAGCTATGGATAGATTGGTGATTTGGATGAGAATGGCCTCCATAGACTCATATTTTTGAATAATTGGTACCCAGCTGGTAGAATTAATTGGCAAGGATTAGGAAGCATGGCTTTACTGGAGGAGGTGTATCACTGGCAATGGGCTATGAGGTTTTAAAAGCTCATGCCATCCTATTTTGCTCTTTATCTCTTTCTGCTTCCTGTCTGTGGATCAGATGTAAATAGTCAGCTACTGCTTCAGTGCCATGCTTGCCTGCCTGCTGCCATCATCCTTCCTCCCTTGATGGTCATGGACTAAAATCTCCTAGAATTGTGAGCTTTCTTTTATAAGTTACCTGTGTCATGATGTTTTGTCATGGCAGTAAAAAAGTAACTAGGACAATAATCATTAGCTTTTATACAAGTAGTGACATATATTGAAGTCATTTGAAGGGGTAAGTTGTTTGCATGGCAAAGACAAATAAATCATGTGGTGTGTTATAAGTGTTGGCATTTGACTGGAATCCCAACTACATGTCAATTGCAATGTCCATGCATGTAAATTTTATTGGACTTGGTTTCTCAGACAGAGCATGAAACCTGAATTCTAAAAAGAAACAGTGCTGATACCAGAAAACTCAAAATTAAAGACTAAAAACAGGAGTTCACAAGCAGTTGCAATGAATGCCACTTGTGTTGTGTCCTATTGGTTAGAGCAGATGCAACCCACTGAGATTCAAAGAAAAGAGAAGCATCCCCCGCCTTTCAAGAGTAGTGTTAACATATGACTGCGCTTAATCTGCCACAGGTTCAATGTCACTCATGTTTTTAAAAATTACTCTGGTAGTGGCACATGCTTTTAACCCCAACACTCTGGAGGCAGAGGCAAGCAAATCTTTGTGAGTTCAAGGCCAGCCTGGTCTATAGAGGGAGTCCAGGACAGCTAGGACTGTTAAACTGAAAAACCATGTTTCGAAAAACAAAACAAAAACAAAAAAACAAAACACATTGTGGTGCTCTTCAAATCTCTATACAAAAGAATTATAGGGATTCTAGCCATCCTTCTTGTCTCATTTTCCATTTTTATCATTATATTCCAGCTCTTTCTTAAAGGCATAATGTTTGTTTGTTTTTTATCTAGATTCCCCCAACAAGTAATTTTATATATTTAGAAATTTTTGTATCTTTTACTTTCTGTTTACATGTACCCCTCTTTTTATATTTTATTAAAAATATTAATTTAAAATATAATTACATCACCCCTTCCTTTCTTATCCACTTTCTCATGACCTACCTCACTTCATTTCATATTGATGATTTATTTTGTATTATTGCTGCATTTTTATGTGTGAATATATAAATAAGACTTGTTGAGTCCATTCAGTGTGGCTGTTGTGCATTTTATTTCAGAGTGGACAACTCTGTATTAGATAAAACTAAAATACTAAAATAGATGTATTTGTTTTCTAATTTATCACCAGAAAGAAAGAGCCAAAAAGTAGAGATTTTTGACTATTGGCTTACTACTTCATCTATGATACCTATGGTAGTTCTAAGAGTGTTTTTAAATGGTGGTGCACGCCTTTAATCCCAGCACTCAGGAGGCAGACCAGGTGGATTTCTGTGAGTTCAAGGCACAGCCTAGGCTACCAAGTGAGTTCAAGGAAAGGCAAAAGGCTCAAAGCTTCACAGGGAAACCCTGTCTCAAAAAACCAAAACAAAAAAAGTTCTGTAAATATACATTTTGAATGGGAAACAGATGCCATATTTGTTTAATCCCTGATAGCAGCCCCATTTTGTTTAATTGCAATAATTTAGAGTTTCCCCCATTTGAATCATTTCAGTTGCAATAAAAAATCATCATGGAAGGAGTTCTCATTGCTTAAATATTGATTACATTCATGGATCCACTCCAGGTGCATCAAGAATTTAGAAGGTTTTTGATAATGGCTTACTGATAACAAATACTTACATGGAAGCCAATGTGACAGCATGAAGCAATAAATTAATTTTCAAATGCTACTTTGGGATTTAAATGTCCTAAATAATTAATATGGAACTTTGTAAAGTTTTGAGTATTGCAAATCCATTCCCTAGTATTTATGTAAACCTATTATCTAGCATTTATATACAAACATATTTAAATTGGGAAAAATTCAGTAACACTTTAAATCCAGAGGCTTCATTGAAAAAAATTTTTTTTCACTAAATCTTCAGCCTAATTTTTTATCTACCCAACCATATTGTTTTCTGGAAATAGATCAAAAAATTATTAGGTACTGACTCACTTTAACCCTCCCTTCCTTTATGAAGCTCTTCTAATATCTCAGAAGCTCAGCTCCATTTCATAAAACTTCAAGATATGTATTTTTAAAAATTGAAACCTCAAACTTGCTCTTTTCATGATGGATAGTAGTCATTATTAAAAGATAAATTAAGAGATTAATTCAAGGTTTTTTGAGGTTAGTGATTATTTTTCAGTTATGCTTCCTATACACTATGGTTTGAAACTTATTCCTTAGCTAAGGCCTGATAGCTTCATAGCAATACGGAGAAGATAATGAAGTTTTCCAAAGGCATTTTTTGACCAAACAAAATTTGACCCTTATTGATGATGTCTCAGCTTTGCCCATCAAAGGATCTAGAAGGGAAGGTTCTAACTTAAACACATTATTGAAAACAAAGTCACTGAACAGTTAGAGAGTGTGTAGAACTTCAGAAATATGTCCCTATCTTACCTAAGAATCAATACCGATACAAGTCCTGCTCCATCTGTGGAGATTCGAGAGTGTGCTTGCAGATATAAATGGATAGAATTCAAGTTTGCCAAGAAGGAAGGTATCCTGAAAAAGTTACCACTCAAAATTGAGTTGAAGGATGCTCATGAATCCCCTCACTAATGATTTATCCAGTATCAGAAGATGAATTTTCAATAAAAAAGCATCAGTATCAGGCAATGATACTGCTTCAGAATCTTGCATTGATTGTACTTCCAGTTCTGTTTGGGTTCTTGAAAGATAACTCTATACTGGAAGCACTGGCCCAAGATAGATATGTAATTGATATTTAAAATGCCACATCTTTATGTGTTTCAATCTATTCCCTTCAGTGCAGCTCCTCTAAAATGGCAGTCAGCATTTGCATCAAAGCATACTATTTGGAGGGCACAGTTTTACACCATGAAGAAGGTTAACACAATTAAGACCCAGATAATGCTCCTTGTTTCTATATTTTTACCCTGATCAGTTATTTACATAAAAAGGCGATTGGACTTTCTGCATGGATGTGATATATTACTGTTTGGTTTGGTGCTTGCTTCCTCTCTCAGCTTGATTTCATAGTGCTACCCACTTTCCTTTCATGTGCTGGCTGCATTGGCATCCTTCTGAGTCCCCTCCTGTTCCTCCTCCTCATTTTACTTCTTTCTTGACTATAAGTGCAACATATCTTTATATCTATTTCCACCCACACACTCTAGAAAAAAAAAACAGTCTTTATTACTACAAGTCTTAATCTCTATGTTTGATTTCATATAAGCACATAAGCCTCCTTAAACAACACTTAATATAATTTATTACAAACACTTCACTGTGCATTTCTTTAATTTGTTTTTGTCTATTATAAACACAAACACAGGCTTCACAAAACGGAGGAATATATGATTTTGTTAGTTTCTTGTATCCCTAATAAGTAGTTAAAAACTGCTAAATTAAGAGTATGTATATTAATAAATAGAGTACTCAATATAAACTTCTGAATGGATAATAATTTTTATGTTATTATATTATTATATGGGAATTAACATTGTAATCAAAGGAAGAGTTTTTGAAGGGAAGATTGTAGATAGTAATGGGCAAAAAATATAATTATGAAGCACACCTTAATTCCACTAAGACTGACATGAGGTCATGGTAAAGCCTTCAAAAAAAGAGTGGCCACACGAAATAGCATCACATAACCCTATAAAGTAATAAGAACAAGAATGATCACACACACACACACACACACACACACACACACACACACACACACACACGCTTGCATGCATGCCTGTACACAGTGCAGTATTATTTCATTATTTTAATTTAAAAGGAACATTTCTTATTCTGTCAACAAAAAAAAATGACATTTGAGACAGAGTTTAGTGACTGTCTCTGTGGTGATATTGTGTTCCCCAAAACATTGTGCACCCTAATAAACTTATCTGGGGTCAGAGAACATAATAGCCACTAGATATAGAGACCAGAAAATGGTGGCACACACCATTAATCCTAGCATTCCAGAGGCAGATAGCCACCTGGATCTCTGTAAGTTCAAGGCCACACTGGAAACAGCCAGGTTTGGTAACAAGAGCCTTTAATTCCAGGAAATGATGACTGGAAGCAGAAAGGTATTTAAGACGTGAGGATGAGAAAGAAGAGCTGGTTAAGCTTTTAGGCTTTGAGCAGCTCAGTTCAGCTGAGATCCATTTGGATAAGGACTCAGAAGCTTCCAGTCTGAGGAAACAGGATCAGCTGAGGAATTGCCCAAGGTGAGGTGGCTGTGACTTGTTCTGCTTCTCTGATCTTACAGCATTCACCCCAATACCTGGCTCCCGGGTTTCTTTTTATTATTAAGACCATTTAAAATTCATGCTACATGTCTCCAATGACTGGAGTTTCTGAAGCACTTGGCTCTGAACCTTGCTAACTTTGACACCACCAATGTCTTTTCTTCTCTGTCCTTCTTGAAATTGCTTCCCTGACACTTCATTTTCAATGTTTCCACAAAGAGCCTGAGCTTTCCCAGTGTGCTGGCCTTATTCTCTCTTTTCATATTTTCTACTTGCTGTATTTATTTTTCTGTGTTAACTCAGCTTTAATCACTAAAAATGTTTTAATCATCTAAAACATCATAGACAATATTTTTTTATCTTTACATTGGCCTTTAAGATTCAACACATTCTCTTAAAATTATCTGCTGATTGTCTATTGTGAACTAATGAACTATCTTAAGCTGACAATTTATAACAAAAACTGGGAAATATTTTCATCTCTATTACACTTGCGAATTCAAGAGGGACTTTAAACTAATAAATGCAATTACATCAATGATTCAGATAGGTTTTAATAATGAATAAAGTATACTCTATCTTGTGATAAATGAAAACATTGCAAACATAAATAAGACGGTGTCATGAATGGCATTTCTGAACAGAAGGAGAAAGCAACTTCCAGCTGATTCCTCAGGGAAGCCTTCCCAAGAACAGGTTTACACATGTGATAATTTGAGGAAAGGAAAGTTAGATGAAGGACAAGTAACAAGCTGTTTTCTTAAAAATGTCAATAAGAATCTCAAGACTGAGGAGACAAACTCAAAAACAATTCCCAAGTGGTCACACATAGGACAGCACAGTAATGGGAGCATCTGAATCAGCTAGTGGAAGAGTAGGCTGATCCACATGTACAGAGGGGTCTGGTCCTCCAAAAGCCATTTAGATCTCCAAAGGGACAGTGGGGCTGCACATACCCACTGCATCTCAGTACACACAGATCTACATAGCTGTGCTCAGTTTTACCATCCATAGCTACCTTCTTCATAAAATAGAAGGGTTTAAAACTTGTACACAGTGAACAGTACACAAAATCATATATACTACATGGGTTTGGGTTTATTGCTTTTCAGAAGAGTTCCATAACCTTTTCTATCTTGACACAGAAAGAAACCATACTTTCTGTGTCTTCTCTGTGAATTTTCATACAATATGATACTGTCCTCTCTCTCTCTCTCCCTTTCTGTGTGTGTGTGTGTGTGTGTGTGTGTGTGTGTGTGTGTGTGTGTGTGTGTTGGTTTACTTCTGGAACCTCTAATATGCTAATATGTTTTTCAAACACAATCTCAGTATCATTGTACCAAGGAAACATTTCAAGGTGCTTCTTTGCCACCCCAGCCCAGAAAGATTCTTTTGTACTTTATAATATACTCAGCATATTGAATTTCAAGCATTACATGTCTTCTAATAAGTTCTGAATATTTTGAGGTAGGCTCAGGGTCTCACTTTTGTACATACCACACATATTTCAGCACATTTGGTATACAAATTATTTGGCTAGGAAAGTGAAGGCAACAGTGTAAACTAGTTAAGAGATTCTACACTTGAAATACACATTTTTCCTCTTTGATATATTAGAATTTAATTGTAAATTAGCATTATTCTGCAGTCACAGGTCTTGTCCAGTGTATTTTATAGCAGTTCATTTCAGAGAGCAAGAGAGTCAACTGACTCTATTAACACAAATGGCCAAGACAATTTTCAAATGAGACATTTGTTTTTGCTAACCCCGTGAGTTAGATTTTGCATTTCTATAAAATGCTAATATAGCCACTAATGTAACCCTGCAGTCTTCCTCTAGACATGCAATTAAAGTCCATTCATATTACAGCTACAATTTATCAGGAATTTACTGGCCCTGAAGGTCATCAGAATTTAGCATCAACAGAATGCAGAGAGAGTACATGGCTCTTTGAAGAGAATTGCCCAAATAAAATTTCCAGAACAAAAAATTACTAGATAGAATTGCAAACACTCACAAATAGTACTCTACAAGAAGGTGCTTTTAAAGATAACTTTTTGGATAAGAGGGTGTTCAAAATGTGAATTTTTTTCCATTGACTTAAAAAGCAGTAAGTCAGAACGCCTATCCCTGACCAATGTGAGGCAAGTAATTTCCATGTTTATCAGAACATAGTTTTCTTGGTAGCTCCACTGAGCCATGAAAGATTTCCTTATAAAAGAATAGAAAAACAGTGAACCCATTAAGCTCCACAGCTCTCTCATTGCACCCTCAGATGCCTCCCAAACACAGGGTAAGCCTCTGTAGATGACCATACTTTTTAATCTGTGAGATTAAAGAGTAAAGCCATTAAAATTATCAGAATTTCCTTTGAGATAGGAGACTCTGAATACTGAATTCAGCTATTGTTTTTCCTTGAAATGTTTCTTTAATGTAATTAAAGAGAGAAATATGTAAGAGGTCCTGTGGGACACAGTAGAAACCCAAAATATGTTGAAGGCAAATTATTTTTAAAAGCATACCTATCATAGAAGCCAACAACTGATCATAATGCAGAGAACAATCAACTATGGGGTTCTCAGTCCCAATTGATGTGTCTATTCCATCATCCTGCCTAAAGCTCAGAGAGCATCATGGAAGAGAGTGTGCAGAGACTGTTCAAGCCAGAGTTCTGGAATGTGTTGTCTGCTGTGAGGCAATTATTTCTGTATATGGCAGGGAAGCTGTACCCAGAAAATCTCAACAGCATAGTTGCCTAAAAAAGACCTAAAAAATGACAACACCGATTGCTTAATAGTCAGTTGATGAGAAACATTCTTCCCAATAAAGGAAAGTAATTCACATTCCTTTATTTCAATTCATATTTTTACATACAATTCAAGTTCATGATATTTAAGAATGACCTGGAAGAAAAGTGCAATGACTTAGGTCAGAAAAAAAAAAAAGCAGTATGTCACAATGTGTAAACAAAATGGTAAGAAAATATCCAACTTTACCAATCAGATTGAACAGCTGAACAAGTCCAGGGACCATTAGTAGGTGTTTCACTGTGAAATCTTGATTATCTTGGTTGTTTTATGCACTGTTGGCATTCTATTGCATGCAGTCATATTTGCTGTTTGTCACAATGGCATAAACACATGTATAAAAATGTCATGAGGCAATAGGGATCATTTATGAGACTTTTGACATGAGGTGTTGTATCTAAAAGTTAGGTATAATATAAATATTTTGAAAATCCCCTATTGATGATATATTCCAATTGGCCCACAGGGTTTGATTAATATGATATTTTCAATAGGAAAAGAAGTTCCTGAGAGAATGCCTAAAATAATTTCCCCTTGGCTTCCTATAAGTCAAAAGCTTTTTTTCTTAAAATATTTGGCCACAGTGGTTGGATACTTTCTACTTTGCTTCATATAGCTGAATGTAATTTGTATGCACACACTGTAGGACTCCTAAATAGCTTAACATAAGAGATTGATACAGAAATTATTAATCACAGTATAATTAATAAATATTTTAATAATGCTGAAATTCAAAAAGTATATAAAGGCCTAGCCTTTAGTGGGTAAAGTGAAAAATAAATATAATTAAATATCTAAAATACTAGCCTGGTGGTGGTGGCACATGCTCTTAACTCCAGCACTCGGGAGGCAGAGCCAGGTAGGTCTCTGTGAGTTCAAGGCTGGCCTAGTCTACAGAGTGAGATCCAGGACAGGCTCCAAAGCTACACAGAGAAACCTTGCCTCAAAAAACAAAAAAAGAAAGAAAGAAAGAAAGAAAGAAAGAAAGAAAGAAAGAAAGAAAGAAAAGAAAGAAAGATCTAAAATACTTGTTTTATAATCAACCAGTAACAAATCCCATTTATGTATTTTGTCTTTAAGTTATTAAATATTTATCATGTTATAGGAAATGCCT